AGACAATGATGCACTGTGTGGAAAATTGATCCCGATGACATAATTCATTACTCATCAGATGGCAATACTAATATCTTTAAGGTTTCAAAATGTAATAGGAAAGACCTACAGAAAGTTGTCACTGAGTTCGGAGCTTCATCATATTTCCTGACCGGTCAAAATGCATCATTCTTCAATGCTTGGCTGTCGGTCTGGAGTTTTGACTCCTCTAACTTTTGTAAGACCACATAGGTCCTCAGAAGTAGTCAGGAACTGCCTTTGTGGTGCATTTCTAAGGGTGACTGAGCATTAAATGTGTGTCTGTAGTACAGAAAGAGATCTGTTCTCACAAAGTTCTGAGCGTGGACTGACTATGTGAAGATGGACGCAGTCACAGCTCAGCTCAGCAGCTTGTATTAGCGCCAGCCTAGACCTCACCTTCAGCTGCACCTCAAGGTAAAGTCAAACCTCTGCCGTTTTAACATATTAAGTAACATCAGTGAGGTGGCAAGAGTCAAAATATGCTTTGTACAGTGTACCTGTAATAGTCTTGGTTTGTTTCCAGAGGCTTAGAAAGTCTGTTTTCTGTGGTTACTGGTCATAGCCAATTATTTTCACTCGCATTACACAATACTCACATTTTTCTCTGTGACAACAGTTAACAGTGTTTAACAGCCTCTGAATCCTGCCCTTCTCCCTTTAAAATACGTGTCACCTTGACACTTTGTCACCTTACCACCTGTGTTTGTGTTCCAGTGATCCAAACCCAGAGCACCTAGGGAAAACCAGGCAAGCAAGGTAGGCGATAGATTATCAAAAACGGAAAAATGAGAAAATACCCCAAGATGCTTCCCTTGAAAGACGTAAACGTGTTTCACAGCGGTGCAGAAGCAAGGAGGAGGCAGTGCTACAAAAAAGAAATGGGTATTAATAGAGTGTACACAGCAAAGGCCCTGCCGCTGGCGTGCTGATAGCGCCGAGGTGATACAGCCCTTGCCCTGGAGGAAGTGACTCAGAAGGAATGTTGTTCGCCCCCTTTCTTTTCAATATTTGCTTTTTGAAAAAAGCAGAGCTCTTTGCTTCTCTGCTAAGAATGCCGGCAAAAAGAACATTATTTTTAATATTAGGGTGTGTAAATGGGGCTGTTAGAGATTCAATCATCTCTCCGTACGTGTTTCGGGAACTGTGGGTCTGGAGTGAAATTTTGAAACAATTCATGCCAACAAGTAAAACAACTCGTGAGCATGGAGTCTCTTCTTGGGCCTTTCTGAGGTAACCTGGAATTGGGGCAATAATAACCAAGAACTGGAAAGCACTAGTGCTAAATGAAATAAATGCTAAACGAAGCTCTAGGCCACATTCTGGCAAGGATTGAAATGCGTAAGAGGACACATGAGATGTCCACAGCCCCTTCTCAGTTGTTTTATGCTGGAGAGAAGGGCACGGTTTCAACCATCAAAATTTCCTGGGAGGCAGGATATTGGCCTTTTAGTAACTTTTTCTGGTAAGAAAAATGTTAATGGAAACTCTAAACAGTGTTAAGAGGCAAAAAGGGGCTGCAGGGACACCTTGTATATCTCTGTTTTATATGAAAGATAGATCTTTACGTTCAGAAGAGGAGTGTGCTTTGGGCTGGACAATGTCTGTCTTGGTTTGATGGCTTTTAGGTAGTTGGACTAGCTGATCTCCAGAGGTCCCTTCCAACCCCATATGATTCTAGTTTGTTCTTAACCATCCAACTCTCACCTTGTGGACGGGGTAAGTAGATAACTAAGATTAGTAATTTTTGTTGTGGTAAGAACAGTAAAAGCATTGAGCTGTCAGAAACCAGAGCATCTACTGCACTTAACAGGTAGGGATCGAGTCCATAACCTCCTTGCTGTGCTTCCTAGACTTCTTGATTAAAGCTGATACACAACTGTGGAAACCAGACTTGGCCTATCTACTAACGCAAAATGAACCAGGGTGAACAGAGAGACTCCAGGAGTGGTCCAGGAGTCTGCATAAAACAAAACAAAACCCAAACAACTATTTCAACTGATTTGTGACTTGCTTATTTGGTATTACTTAATAGAGGCTGAGGAATGAATGTCTAAGAAAACAGAATTCCTCCCTGCTGTACTTGGGTACAGGGGTGGGCAGTGTACCGGTGCCAACTTCTGCTTCTGGAGCTGTTCTGCAGAAACATGCTTTTCTTAAATACAGTACAGGAAGCACCTGTGAATAAGTGCTGTACAGGCTTGGATCACAGAATGATATGGGGATGGAAGGGACCTCTGGAGATCACCCAGTCCAACCCCCTGCCAAAGCAGGGCCACCCAGAGCAGGTCGCACAGGAACGTGTCCAGGTGGGTTTGGAATGTCTCCAGAGAAGGAGACTCCACCACCTCCCTGGGCAGCCTCTGCCAGGGCTCTGCCACCCTCACAGGAAAGAAGTTCCTCCTCCTATTTAAGTGGAACTTCTTATTTTCAAGTTTGTGCCCATTTCCTCTTGTCCTGTCCCTGGGCACCACTGAAAAAAGACTTGTCCTGTCCTCTTGACACCCACCCTTTAAGTATTTATAAGCATTGATCAGATCCCCCCTCAGCCTTCTCTTCTCCAGACTAAAAAGACCCAAGTCCCTCAGCCTCTCCTCGTAAGGGAGATGCTCCAGGCCCTTAATCATTTTTGTAGCCTCTGCTGTCCCCTCTCCAGCAGTTCCCTGTCCTTCTGGAACTGGGGAGCCCAGAACTGGTCCCAGTGCTCCAGATGGGGCCTCCCCAGGGCAGAGCAGAGGGGCAGGATGACCTCCCTCCACCTGCTGGTCACACTCTTCCTGATGCCCCCCAGGATGCCATTGGCCTTCTTGGCCACAGGGGCACATTGCTGGCTCATGGTCATCCTGTTGTCCACCAGGACCCCCAGGTCTTTCTCCTCAGAGCTGCTCTCCAGCAGGTCAGCCCCCAGCCTGTCCTGGGTTGGTGCAGGGGGTTATTCCTCCCCAGGTGCAGCACCCTGCACTTGCCTTTGTTGAAGTTCATCAGGTTCCTCTCTGCTCAGCTCTCCAGCCTGGCCAGGTCTCACTGTATGGTGGCACAGCCTCCACCCCGGAAGATCAGAGAAGTGGAGTTGGCTGAGAGTAACCATAACACCAAACTGCTGCTGACACTTTCCATTACAGAAATCTTTAATGATGGGTGATTAAGAGATGTCAACCCAGCATCCGGATTACTGTTTTCAGCGAGGTGAGCACTAGGTGGGGCTGTTGCTCCACATAATTATTGTGTTGGGGGGTGGAAATTTATGATGGACCCTTCTGACAGCAATTCAGGGACTTTCAGTGTGGACCATCTGGACTCAACAATCCCCACGAGCTGATCCTCAATGTAAGAAGAAAATAAATAAGAAAACCAACTTAAAATAAACACCTTTTAGTAGTTAAGGAAAAGTATAATCATTTTGCTGTATAGTTTTTTAAGGAATATGCACTGTACCCGTGGTGTTCCATATCCTAAACTCTGCCCCAGTTATCATCACACAACTGGGAAGAAAGACCAGATTCCCCAGAGAGAGTACGTGCTGTGCTCCCAGCCCCAACTCTCGGGTCTCTCTTCCCAGCTTCTGTTCCCTTTTTTTTTTAAAAAGCGTAGGTTTTGAGCAGTAGTCTCTATTTTCAGTGGATTCAAAAAAATATATATATTTTTTAGGACCGGCCACTTGGCTTAAATGTCTAAATGAAAACTGAGCTTTCTGGAAAATGTACGGTCACTTTATGGCCAAAAAGTCACACAAAATCCAGTATATTCCTATACAAGCTTTCGAAGACGGTGCCTCTTCAAATAATTTAGTTTTTAACACAGATATAAAGAATGAAGACGATGTAGTCATAGGTGTTAAAGTGACAACATGCCCTTAAACAATGTAAGAAAAAATAAATAAGAAAACCAACCTAAAATAAACACCTTTTAGTAGTTAAGGAAAAGTATAATCATTTTGCTGTATAGTTTTTTTAAGGAATATGCACTGTACCTGTGGTATTCCGTATCCTAAACTCTGCCCCAGTTATCATCACACAACTGGGAAGAAAGACCAGATTCCCCAGAGAGAGTACGTGCTGTGCTCCCAGCCCCAACTCTCGGGTCTCTCTTCCCAGCTTCTGTTCCCTTTTTTTTTTAAAAAGCGTAGGTTTTGAGCAGTAGTCTCTATTTTCAGTGGATTCAAAAAAATATATATATTTTTTAGGACCGGCCACTTGGCTTAAATGTCTAAATGAAAACTGAGCTTTCTGGAAAATGTACGGTCACTTTATGGCCAAAAAGTCACACAAAATCCAGTATATTCCTATACAAGCTTTCGAAGACGGTGCCTCTTCAAATAATTTAGTTTTTAACACAGATATAAAGAATGAAGACGATGTAGTCATAGGTGTTAAAGTGACAACATGCCCTTAAAAATCCTCCAGAGAAGATTAACTTGCACTTTGAATCAAAGTGCATGTTTCCTCATGGTGCTCTGCCGTTCTGCCCTACCTTGGCTGCAATGAAGAAAAATCAAGAGTAGAATTCAAAAAGTTCATGTTCTTAATCATTTGTGTCTCTAGAAACATTTGGTAGCAATGGGAAAAAAAAAAAAGTGATATTACTTCCATATTTTTCGCTTTAGTGGGATAAACATTCTGTCTGAATCAAGATCAACTGGTCTCAAGAGAATACTTAGCAAACTTTTGACAGATCATTTAGATGTGATTTAAATCATCAAATGCCTCTTCAAAGGAGATGGAGATACTCTCACCTGGTATCTAGTGCTTACTTTCTAGTTAAAAGAGTCTCATTTTAATAAAAGGGAAGGTCCTTCTCCTCAAATCTTGTGTTGACTTCCATCTCAGATAAAATACTCAACTGCACACCACAAGATGGTGCCCTTAATCCATATCTTGACTACAAAAGAAAAGTAATTTTTGTTCTTTTCTTCCTTCTTTAATGTTGTACAGTAGGAACACACCGAGAGAAGCATGTTTTATAACGTGGTTAGTTTGGTTTCTGCAGCAACCCCACAGACTACACCACACACACTGCAGTCTATAATGGTAGCTGATTTTTCCTTAAATGACACATGCTGCCTTCAGAGGGTTTGAGAAAAGCAATCTTTCTGGGAAAAACAGTCCAAAGAAATGGTTAAGAATCCAAGGAAACAAAATGAAACAACTACAGATGAGCTACCTGAATAATAAAATTCTTTAACTGAACACCTAGTTGGTAATCCCACATCAAACTAACCCAATGTAGCTGCAAACCTAGAAATTCACCTGTTTTTCAGTTAGAAAAGAAGTAATTCTTCAGTTTTCCCTGAAAGGCATATGCTGGTGCAATACCACTGCGACAATTTCCTCCCTCTCTCCCCCACTCCCCCTCCCCAGATTGGTCAGGTGTCAAAGAATTCCACACATATTGATGATGAAGGGAGTACGATATTCCAGGAAGAAAGACACTGTGTATGTACACACACTACAAGGATGACTGATGAGCGTAATAAAAATAGCCACGTTGTTACCTTTTACCTTCAATAATATAAATATATGTACATAATCTCATTAAAATACTTCCACAGATGTATACACATAAGTAGTTCTTAGTAAGATGAAAGCAAATCCATTTTCCACAGTGTCTGTGAAGCCTCCCGCAGCTGGAAAACAGAAAGACTGGAGTGGTTTTCCAAGGGATGTAGTCCCCTCAGCGTGGCTGAATTCAATTTATTCCTTTTTTTGTCCTTCGCCTTTAGATTCGCTCAGCACATCTTGCCATTTCTTCTCCACCTCTTCTTTGCAACTCAGGAAGGCGTCCTCCAAACGCTTCGTGGAGGTGGCCAGGTCTGGGTTGGTTCGAAGGACTACCATGTCGTAAGCCATCCAGGTTGCCTGCACTACAGACCCAACAGATACTACTAAGCCAGGAATTTTGGCTAAATAAAAGCAATAGCTGACTCAAATAAAGGACATGAATTATTATTAGTACAGATCTTATGTCAGAGAAGGCCTGCCGTAGAGTGGAAACTGCCCAGAGCAATACTCAAGATTAAATAAAAGGCTTTTCAGTATTACTTCTTCATGTTTCAAAATATTTCAGAATGGAAGTGTACTGATGTAAATTACAAAAAGGGGGACAGACACCTGTACCTAAAAATCGCAACAAAATATGTGATAAAAAAGAAAGGTTCAACAGACTGTTCTAAAATAAATGAACCAAAGAATCCTCTCTCCAGACGAGTTACAGTCAGGAGGCTTATGTTAGGTGAGGAAGAGCAAGATCAAGGAGTAATGCAGCATAGCAATGAGAGGTTTTAAGAACAACCTAACTAATTAAATTGATTTTGGAATAATGAGGCTCTGATAAAGCCGAGCAAATAGTTTTAGCGCTTATTTCATACTTTCCCTTTTATCATATATTGATTGTAGTTCTCAACGGCACTCATAAATTGTGTTCAATTACAAATAGTTTAAATAACAGTTTCCATCCATTCTTGTTAGTTTCACAGAGTTTCTAACAGAATTGTTGCAGAACGTGGAGAGGAATATGCAGTCCTCTCCATATATACAGGACTAAGTTTAAATTTGCAGAGAAGTCTTTGTTCTATCTGAGGAATTGAACACATCATGCACTGATCTGAGAGGTACTGTGTATCCCACTGTTTTTTCAGAATTAAATCTCATTTTATATACTATGTTTTAATAATTGTAAATGAAGTACCTTAGCATTATTTCTGTTTTCAACCACCACTCTGAACTGAGCATCCATCACCTATTAATTTTCAATTCCAGGCCATCTGAAACTTCTAGATTATTTGCATGCTTTCTCCCAATTAATTAGGGCATTCATTAGTCGATGGTGATTATTTCCACTTACATTTCTATCACACAGACGTTTACAGCAATAAAAACAAACAATATATCTTCAATATCTTCACAAATCCATATCATTCTTATAAAGACCTGTACCTGTTAGTTTTTCCATTTCCTCCAGAAGTTTTTCTAAGTCCCTGTTCAGGTCCTCCACCATTTTTACCATGTTATCATAGTTTCCTTCCTGTGGTTCTGACTCAGCCATCTACGAGGAAAACAGGAATTTCATACTTTATTTTACTTAGTAGCGAGTCATTTTTCACGGTTGAGAGAAAGTAACATTACAATAAATTTAAAAAAAAACCCTATATGTATATAAATATTCAGTTTTGATGTGAATTCATTAAGATCTGATCCTGAAGCCACTGGTCATCACCTGTATGCTGCATACTATTTTCAATCCACTTTGAAATTCAGGAGAAAGAATTACACCCAAACATGCTGTCTTTGTGTCAAACAAAGATTTTGGTATCAGTAGTAACAAAGAACACCAAGTCAGACACTTCGTTAGAAAATTTTGTCTGTTATCCCGTTACAGTTGTCTTCAAGTTTCTCTCCCAGATACTCTGACATAGGGCAATTCCTAATTTTCAAAGTTAGTTGTGAAATCCCCATTTGTGTCCAGTGTTTCATACTGGCACCATATAAGCAGCCAAGGGGTTACGATTTACTAACCTCTGCCTAACTTGTGGCTAGTAAAATTTCAGGAAGTAAGATCGCTTGGGGCAAAAATACAGAGTTAGAGGCCCGGTTTATACAATTGAAAGTTTCAGAACCTTGGTATTAACAAATGTATACAATTGAAAGCTTCAGAACCTTGGTATTAACAAAAAAAAAATAAAAAATAAGTGACACACAGCCTTGCCTTTAATATACTTTTTAAGAAAACTGCCAAATGGATGCCACAGAACTAGAGAGGAGATGGAGGGGCTTCCCTGCAGTGACTATACACGTCACGCAGCAAACACTAGGGTTTTTTTACCACCTTGCTTATTTTATATACGATTCCTGAAACTCAATTAAAGTAGCCATGTTCCATTTTCTATTGCCAATAAATATCGGGCGGCTGGCAAGCGTTTATAAGGGCGTCACAGCACTTTAAAGGGATGCCCGGCCCTATGGAAGGCCCTGGGTGTCCCAAGGGGTCCCCTCACACCACCGGTATCACCCGGGAGACCTCCAAAAGCTCCCGGGTGACCTTGTACCACATCACGGGCTCCCTCTAACTTCCCACCAGGGTCCCCACGGCGCTGAGGGGAGCTCCGGGCCGCAATCCAAGGCGGTGTGAGGAGCTTTTCGCCCCCGGCGAGCCGCCCCCACCCCGCCTTCCCTCCCTCCCAGATCG